CATTCGTATTCCCTCGGGAATGATATCTGAAACCGGATATATGTAGTGAAGCATAATCCTTTCAAGGCACTGCATTAAACAAAATGCTTCTCTGTTCATAAAGAATATCACACAAGAGTAAACATACTGAAATGTACACACTGTACTTGTGCCTTGAGCACTATTTCGGTGGATGTCAGCATGTTATTATACAAATATTTTCATTATTATTATTAACATTACAACGTTACAGGTCTATTTAGGTTTTACAATTACAGAATAATGATTTTATTTCAATATTAGTTACATTTACAGAATTTTGTCATTTTAAATATACCACTTTGTCCCATGTGACTCATTTGTTGTTACTCTGCAATTAGATTACAAACATTAATATCTGAACTTCAAAAAGGTTTCCTCAAAGATGTTTTTCACAACCGCAGGTTACCTTCACAGCGTGGATTCATTAGGACACATTATGCTGTCTCCCTAGGAGATACAATCTATTGTTGGGAGCTGATTAAGTAACATCACTAAAAGTTCAACTGGAAACCATATTAAGCTGGGGATACAAATTATTAGATTTTTGTCTGTCAGATAGTGTTTGATAAAGACGCTGCTTAATGAGGTATTATCTAACAGACATGGACTGACAAGAGATACATAATGTAATGTATAAGGCATGTTGTGGCACAATGCAATAACTTAGCATTGTTTTTTTAAATTTTATTATTAATTTATTATTGAACTGCAATGTTTAGGTTAAGGGGGTGGTGATGAATCTATGTAGTTAAGAAAGGAGGCCAAGCTTAATTAGAGAAATCTATTTCTTGACTCCCATTATACAGTAATTTATTACAATGTTTTATAATGGAGGCTATGTTTGCAATAAAGAGAGATACTAATAATAATAGCATATCTAGAACAATTAAGTCTCTTAAGATATCTGACAGCTTAAAATTAAATCAGACAGTATATGTATACCTTTCGAAATTAGTGAATATAAATAAAGATATTATATAGATATGCAATTAACCCAGGTATCAGAATCATTCTGCTACTGTAAATTACGTACGTGCGTTGTAAGTCTATCACATCTACCTTATTAGAGAGATAATTAGAGAGATGAAGAGTAGTCATATCTTTCCTCAGAATCAGGGGTTACAGAGAACTAGAGCATCAGAGGTAACTCCCTACTCTTCTAAAAAGCAGACTGGGTTCTTTAGTGCACATGAGCCACTATCCTACACTACACCACTGAATTTGAGTTTTTATCTACCAACTGAACCATGGAAGAGAAGGGTTCTTTTAACTCATCTACCTAGATTTAAAAATAATAATGCTCTAGATTACAGTTAGGTACATATTACATACGCAGGGCTCGCCGGGCTCGCTGGGCTCTTGGTACATCACATTTATTACCCCAGTTGTAGGCCAATAATCATAAATCATAATATAAGCATATGGTAGGCTTACAGTACAAAAAAAAACTCAATGATTTTTTTGGGAAAAAAAGATTGATCTTATACTGTATATCAAAATGCTGTTAAGCATACGGTAATTTGATCTACCTTTGATAATAACGGTCTCTTTTGATGTCTCGTAATTCACTTCTCATCCGTCATAAAAGCTTTCAGAAAATAATGGGTCTGGGGCAGCCACATTTTGGAACTAGGTCATACTTGCATGAAAAAGTTATGAGTAGATAGTAAACCTCCTGAAACAACTTAAAATATCCATGAAAATGATCAAGGGCATCGATTTTTTTTCATTTTAAATTGTTTATGATGTTTCCACTGCAGCTTCGCTTATTTGTTTACAATTATTTTGATAACAAAGGAACTTCAAAGCGGATTAAAAATATAGTTTGAATGACGAAGCATGGAAGAGTGAACATGTCATTGAATAGCTAATTACTGTAACCAAAAGCGTGGACCAAACCCATATAATAATAATGGTAAATAAACATGACATTGCGCAAATATAGATTTGAAAAACACGAAAATCAAACTTGATTGCGCTGACACAAATGTGGGTTATATTTTTGTAGATATGTCGCTTCTGAGCAGTGAAAATGCTATGTTAGTTTTAAGTATATTTTTAAACCTTATTTTTTTGTATTTGATGGTTTATGGATTTTCTTTTTTTTTTTTTGTGTGTAAGTCACTTTACAAACAAATTTTAGTCAAGAAAAATATTATGAAACTAATATTCATTGGTGTTGTTAATTTAAAATTAGGCTTTGTCAATTGTGCATAATTTGTTTTTTAGTTTAGTTTTAGTTTTATATATAATTTATATTTATGCACCTCAAGGCCTATTGTAAGAATACACACAGAATGAAATAGTTTATTGAATAAATAAAGATTATTATTATGAGATTGATTTGAGTGAAACCAAAATGAACCAATAAAAATTAAACCAAAGAAAAATTGTAATCTATCAATTTTTAAATTATCAGGTTGAAAAAATGTACTTAAAGACAATTGTAGGAAAATTAAGTGATATTAATAATTAAAAAAAATTAGTCAGTTTCTCAAAAATAAAATTCCATGGGTGTAGGATAAAAGTAGGAAAAATGAGTTCTTCCAAGTGGGTTGTAAAAATGAACATGGCCATTGTTTTTATTGGAATAGCACATAGTTTATATTTATTCTCAATTTTACACTTCCCCAGCCAGGATAAAACTATCCCACACTCCAGATTTTTATGTCATATCAAAAATATGCTCTTGAAGAATTTGAATGATAAATAAAGCAGAGAGCTAGAATTTACTATAAAAGCATTATTATTGACTAATATATTCCAGAAACTAACCAAAGGAATAAAGAAAAGGAAAACCAGTAAAATCCTATAAATTACATTCTGTCTAATGTTCTCTAAGGCCTTAAAAAATTTTAGTTGTTAGGTCAATATATTTCTTTTGAATAAAGGGAATTATACCAGCAGATGTCAAGGTTGCATTTAGCCAACAAACTTAAGAACAATTTAAATATTTGATTTGCTTCTTAGCATAAGTAAGTGACTCGCTCTCAATTGACAAAATACACCCTTAAAATATTTCTTGCAAATGAACAGGCACGTATATTTTGCTTCTAGTTCTTTGGCATTTGTCCTTAAAGCTATCAAATTAATTAAATTTTGTTTTGTATTGATAAAACATAAATCAGCTTAAACAAAATTATTCTGATCTGTTAATAACTTGAAAATAAATAAAATGAGAAATTTAATCTGAATATTTAACATTTCCATTAAAATAAATTTTGAGACACTGTATCTCCCGTTTTTATTTATATATATTTACCTATGCAATACCTTATACTTTACGTATATAAGATGTAGACAACATCATCTATTTTTATTTCTACACATTGGCAAAGACTTTTTAAGTTCAACCATTATTAATCCCTGCCTTTTCCAAATTACACATTTTGTTCACAGTTAATTTAGTTTATGCATGTGGTTCAATATATCTTCTTTTTTCATGGAAAGACAAATATTTTCTTAAACTGACACTCGCCAGGTCACTGACCTTAAAATAGTCATTGGTTTGCAGGTCTTAGCATGGTGTTATCTTGTGGGAATGCTCGCATACAACGTTTTCTTAGTTATATGTGGCTTCCAGCTTGCGTTCATTTCAATATATCAGCAGTATATATAGCTCAGATTAAATATGGAAAGTTCTTGAATCCGATTTTAGATCATTAAAGCATATATTAAGGTGACAAAGACATTCTTCTTAATTTATTGTTTAGCTTTTTACCTTTGTTTTACTGAAGCCAACCTAATCTTTGTCATCCTACCACTGTGCTTTCCTTTGTTTTACTTTTCAATGTTTCTAGTGCAACTGTCTCTGTTTCACCTTTCACTTTTACTTTTTATCTATGGTACGAGAAACAATCCTGCAAATATGGGTTGTGAATTAGAAAGACCTCTTTCAAGATGTCGCCCATATTTTCTGGTCGCGCCATAAAGCGCAGCGGCCTGGCTTTTAATTTTATTGTTGTTAATTAATGAACCACATACTCAAGGAAGAACAACTTTTTAAAATTCCTCTTTGATATTGTATTTTCTATGTTGAATTTGGGTTTTTTGCCGTGTATAAATAAAGAGATTATTATTATTATTATTATTCTTAACTATATCTGGCTGGGCGACACATTTGAGGACAGGGGATGTGTCCACATATAATGCAACATGTTTGAATCTAGGCTTCCCTTAATATAATTCTACCAATGTGCAATCATTTTAGGAGGGAGCTGCTATATATAGTAGCTACTTTGTTTGAGTGTTCAGTATTTTCGAAATAATGGCTTCCGAGTAATTACTACAGATAAGATTACCATTCCCTGTTTTGCCGCTAAATTTTAACAATTTCAATGCACATCAATGTTTTGTGCTACTCACTTATTATCTATTCAGAAAATGTTGTGCCCACCACCCTTATTTGAAAAATTCTGGATCCGCCCCTGCCTGCTACATAAATCCATCTATTAATAAATAATTATCTTGATGTTATTATTGTTAAGGCACCCAGCATCACAAAATAAAAATTTCAAATCCATGAAAAGTCCTTAGATATATATAAATGTCTATACCCTAATTATTAAAATTTTGTTTATCTGGTCTGATCTGGTTTCTCCTTTCAGTATCAATAAATCACGCTATTTTTACAACTCTACAATGTCTACTTTAAAACACCGATCGTAAATAAGCATAGACTTACCTGGCAATCTATGGTAACTTTAAAGGAGCACAAATGACAATGTGTCATAAATTCAGCACCACATCTCACTTCGGATGTCCGCCATGCAAAAGGTGCAAACGGCCGATAAAGATGATACCAACAACATTCCGATGCCAGGGCTAGGCTAAGGCTTAAATAAATATGGAACAGCAGGGCCTACCCCTACCAGGGAGTTGTTATAGTCACTATAAGAACTCCCTGCCCCTACCTACCAATACAATCAATTGTACCTCTAAAACTGTTGCACAGATTACGGCACTAAAAAAAAACTTACCAAACATCAAACAGCAACAAATAAAACATGTTAACTTGAAAAGATTCCACATGTTTCAGCCACTCATTTAAAATGACTTCATTGTTTACGTTATCGGTCAGATTGTGAGGACGCTTCCATTCAGCTTGGCACTCGGTTGTTATCTACTGCTTAGTCCGAGTCCAGAAGCCTGAGAACTGCAACAGTGCAGCAGCCAACTGGTTTGCAGATTTATGATGTTCAAATATACTGACATACCGCCCTCTATAAAACTTTTCCGCGCGTTCCACCATGGGTCACTATAATACCTCCATGGTTCCACACACCCGAAATTCTATCGTAGTAATTGGATCAGGATTTTGGGGGTTCCAGTGGCGGATCCAGGGGGTTCAAGAGGGTTCGGACGAACCCCCCTCTGTAAAGAAAGGGGATGGAGAACCTTGAATTTTAAAGCTTAAAGGTCATTAAAAGACTCCTCAGGGAAAGCTCATTTCCGGCCATCTAGAAATGAAAACCCCTGGACCCCACTTTAATTTTGGGGTTTTTTGGAAACATTTTGAACACCCCCCTCTTTTAAATCCTGGATCCGCCCCTGGGTTCGAATCTCAATGTAATGAATACGTTTTCTTATAAAAATGTTTAATACTAGACTAAAACAAACAATGTATTCATCAACTATTGATTTTTACCTTTTCGATTGCTAATGATGTGAAGCAAAATTCTCTATATCAATTTTGCTCAGTTAAAAACAATTTAAGGAGTTAAGAAAAGAAATGATTAGGTAGGCTGTACAGAATAATGAAAATAAATGTAAATCGGTTTCGCTAAGACAAACAATTATTATAATATTAGTGTTATGGTCATGCTGTCTTTATCTTCATGTAAACAAATCTATATAGGCCTACAGCTGTAGCAGCAAGCAATTTATTATTATTATTATTATTATTATTATTATTATTATTATTATTATTATTATTATTATTATTCATGGTATATTTTATTCAAAACGATACAAAAAGGAGAAAGCAATTGACAAAAAGTGAATTGTAGCCAAGGCTAAATTGCTCACAATTTACAATCAATTAAAAATTAAGAAAAAGGCATTAAAAATTCACAAACATTTAAAAATTTTAAAGAGAATATAAAAATATAGCTTATATTGAGAAAAAAAAAACAACAAATACGATAACTATATTTAAAATTAATTAATTCTTTCTACAATCCTACTTTGACTTATTACACAATATCTACTGTCTCACTTTGCATACACGGTCTAGATTCTAGAATAGGTTGCAACAGTTGCAGGGTGCCAGCGGGGAAAGCAACAGTGGGGTTCAGGATATTTTTGCTGGGGCGCGAGTGGAAGGGTGGGACATGGTCCGAGGGGAGAACTGGAGGTCTTATCCTACATTAGGTATTATTATTATTGGTGGTGCTATAATGGTGCTATATAAGGGGCAATAAAAACACAGATACAATATTTCAGATATTTCAGTTGTCGTTTATTTGACAGAAGTTTTATATGAAAATTAACACCAGTCATTTTAATGGCTTATGTAAGAAGACGTTAATTTTTATGAGTACCTTAATTATAAGAAAAAAAATGTTCGCCTTAATATAAAATAAGCAGTTCAAGTAGTTCGCTCTACAGAAACCCAAATGAATCTACCTCGGCCTCCAAGTCGAAACTACTTTTTCAAAGTACAGAACAAAAGTCGATCTTTTGAACAACAGGGCCGGCGGAACGTTTTTCAAAGGGGGGGGGGGGCACTTATAAGAAGGCGC